AGGTGGGAATTTGATCCATTCTTTAACCTGCTTGGTCTACTTAGTTATAAAATTACATTTATAACAGAAAATGTCACTACTACAATTATCACCGGCCTGGACTTGAAAACAGTCTCTTGTTTATTTTTTGGTGTTTTTTTTCAAAAAAATAAAATATGGGAGTGTATAAATGCCGAAAAACCAGTTGATGTGGAATAAACAAGAGACTTGCAATGGTCCTCTTGATATTAATATTAATGAGCATTTCAATACTGTCACAAATTTAATGGACGGAGCATGGATACATACAAGTTTACATTCTTTCAAGATGGCCATGAATAGCGGGCAAATGATTGCTAGCACACCGACTGTCATATCACCAGGAGCCCCTGGAATGCATTTGTATTGTGTGTTGCGTCAAAGATGAAAAATTGGATAATCCTAGAAGACTATTCAAAGCTGGCCAGAAGATGCTTGCCTGTCAAGAAATTGAGTTGCTAGCTGGTGATTTGATAGACCGACACTCAAAACACTCACACAAACAACTACCATATTATATCTATTTAGCAACATTTGCACTGATGTAAATTACAGAGGTGTTTCTATAGACAAAATAAGTAATAGTTTTATTTTTAATCATTCTGAATCAGTGTTTTGGTTTATATGTGCTTCTATTCATGAAAACATGACGTACTACAACAAAATGTTTAATACTAGTATATAATTATATAGTATATATATATATATCAGTCAGGTTAGGTTGAACTGACTTACTACGAGTAAAATGTAACCTCCTACGACCTGCTTCATAGCCCTGTTGTCCAGGCGATTGAGCAATGAGCAATAGGCAACTCACCAACCCGCATTGAACTAGCGTGGTGAGTTACGGTTCAACCCCACAACATAATGAAGCTTTGTGGAGGCCACCCGCCAGCAGTAACGGGAAAGGCTGAGACGATGATGATGATAATTATGTAAATTTTTGATAATTACTGAAATATTAACATGCCATATTGTGTTTCTTCTCTGTAGATGTACACAAGGCTAAAAAGAGTAATGGAAAGCTGATCATGAATGCTACAGAAATGATAAAACAGCTGTCGAGTGCTAGAGAGCTTCCCTGTTACGTTGTAGCTACTGAAGAGAATTCTGATGAACGAGACTTTGATGTTAAATTTGACCAACTTGTTAGTACTCTCATGACTCATGGAAGAATAGAATGCAGAACTACTCCACGGTAATTAGCTCCAAAAATGCTTAGTGTCGGTCGTTTAGTTGTCATGTTCAATATAGCTCCCATGTGAAATGCTTTGTTTAAACAAAATTTGAACTTGTGATGCTTTTGAACTTGTGACACCCTTTCATTGATATTGGCGGTTTCTGATGAAAGTCTTTTTGAATAATGACTGCTGTTATTCCTGTTCTAATTTAGCTTCCATTACACAGAGCACCAGGCCAACTTAGGTTGTC